CAAGCAGTTTTTTCAATACCTGTTAAAGTATTTTCAAACTGTGTATCTTTCAAAATATTTCGAATCTGTGGCCCAACAAAGGTTAAAGAAGGTATTTACCTTCTTTAACCTTTACCTCACTTAGTCTTGGAAATTTCTGACGCAGGTATTGAAAAGCTGACCCATCTCTATCTAATGCCTTGACAAAGTTTTTCATTAGGCCCAACTTGATATGCAGTGGTGGTAAAAAAAATTTTTTCGAATCTACTAATGGCATATGCTGTACATTTTTTTGACCTGGCTCTAGGAATTGACGAACAGGCCAGTTTTGTCTAGTGTAATGAAGTGCCTTTGCCCGACTGTCCCATTCACACAAAAACAGCCAAACTTTGTGTAGCCTAGCTGCAGCCCAAGTAAAAGTGCAACAACTTTCAAATCGCCACAAATATGCCATTGGTGCTCATCGTATTTTATGCATGTCAATAGGTATTTCATATTGTCATATGATTCTTTCATGTGAACTGCATACCCTACAAGAAATATTTCCAATATGCAATAACACTGCCTTTAAACTCAATGTTGAACTGTCTATAACAATCTCCATTCTTCTGGGTTATAGCTTATATTTAAAGCCGCCAGTAAGCCGTTGATGTTACTGCAGAAAACCAAGTTATTCTTCATATTGGAAAATGGTTCTAAGTCTTTGTGGCGTTTACGAAAAACACATACCGAAACATCGTCTTCTAACAAGTTCCACTGCTGCAGTCTTGATCCAAGTAACTCTGCCTTACATATTGGAAGTTTTAAATCTCTTACAAGATCATTTAATTCTGACTGTGTTATTTTGTGCGGTTGGTGGCATGACGTTGATGGCATATCTTCTTCCTGACGAATCACTCGATCGCCATGATCTGATTCGTTTTCTGATTCGCAAGTGTAGGATTCTGGGGGTTTTGGAATAGGATTTTCGTCACTGTGAGGCACATGTCTCATCGCAGATGGTATGTTTGGGTAGTTAATAACCGATTTTTTTTTCCTTGGGCATACCTGTGGCTTGTCCAACACAAGGTACCATGCAAAAGTAACAATCATTAATATGATTTGTAGGCTCTCTCCAAACCATTGGGACAGCAAAGCGCATAGACCGTTTTTTGCCATTTAACCAGCTCCTCAGACTTGAAGCAGATGTATTACAGCAGATGTGGGGTGCCCACTGTTTGTCTTGATCACCTAGTTTACAACCGAAATAAAGCTGATATGCCTTTGTTATTAGTGGAGTAATACGTGTAGACCGTCTCTGACACGCAAAAGTCACATCACCACACACGTAACAAAACTGATCTGGATTGTTTACACACTTTCGAGACATCTTGCATGAACGCTGTCAGCCAACTGAGGAAAAAAATGGCTAATATAAAACAATATAATGTACACGTATGTATAACGTAACACAATATAAAAATATAAAATATATAATATAAAAATGTAGCACGTGCATTCTTGTGAATTACAATATATTAACACTGTCACAGCAGGAACACATATAATTACCGTATCTCTAAAACTTGAACTAATATTGAAAAAATAAGTTTCATTCCGGTTCTAGCACATTAAAAATAGTAATATTTTGTTGATTTTATTTAGGATATTTTTTGGCTGTTGATCAGTGATAATTCCCCATGTTTGACTAGCTAATCAAACCACACGTATTTAAAATTCATCTTTTTATATTTATTAACGGTGACGTTCTTTAGTACAAAAGTGCTAATTTTGTAAAATATGCATTTGCTATATAAGCCTTCTGACTGAATAGATTTCGAGATACTTCGGATGATTTGATTGTGGAAGTTGTAAATTATTAACAGTTACTGGTGAACAGGTTTTTCTATATAACGTGAATATCACATGTGTGGACTTTGTTTCATTAACCTTTTTAAGCGATTTCTTTAGCCAGCCCTCAATTTGAAGTTTTCCTGGAGGTTTTGCAAAGTGATGCTGGATTCTCATGGGATGTCAAGATAGCCGCATCATCTGCAAATGTTGTCATTTGCAATTAGTAGACCTATAGTATACAGAAGGTAGAGAGCGGGTCCTAAAACGCTTATGGGACTACTGAACCAAGAGGGCTAATGTGGATGTGGATTCAGTACCATTGAAAATCAAAATAGCCATTACAGACGCCCAGGGGGGCTAGCTCTTTTCAAACTACTTTTTGAAATGTGTGTTCTGCTAGTTTCTCATGGATGGCGCTAGGATCTTTTAGATCCATTGTTTGGTACAGGAATGCAGTATATGGTCGTTTATACGTTAATCGATAATAGAAGCAACGAAAGTTTGTCGAAGGGCTGCTGGTGCAGACCAGGACTTCTCGGCGTACATTACAGTGCGGAATCCTGGGATATGATACTCAGAATATAATATGATCAAATATTGAAGATTCAAAGGACGTTAAAGAACATACTCAATTTTGCTAGAATTATAAATACGTATTTATGGGCTTAACAAAGAGGAATAATGCCCAACAATATACTTTTTACATATATATATATACTAAGTGACATATAAATCCGAACACCCAGTTTAAATGGTTTTATTTTAATAAAAGTTGGTGAATGTATTTATCTTACTGTAAATAACAAGTGAAAAAATGTTCAGCCTTATCAGTTGGACATTCCGGTCTTTATGCTGCTTTTTTTTAATTCACTAACGCTCTAAAAATGAATATTTCAGCCGCAGTAAAGAATCAACGTTGGCGGATTTTGGTTCTTGACATCCTTTACGATCGGTTACGATGCCTAGAGTACGGAGACCTGTACGATTTCGTCAACTTAGTGAGTTTGATAGGGGCCGTATAGTGGGACTTTCGGGAAGCTGGACTTTCTTTTCGGGCAATTGCAGTTAGAGTGCAAAGAAGTGTAGACACTGTGGTTAGGTGTTGTCAGGCATGGCTTCGAGAAGGCCGTACGCAAAGAGCAAGGGGCAGTGGACGCCGCCGTAGAACAACAGACCGTGAAGATCGCCGCCTAAGATTATTGGCCTTAAGGGACCGTTTTCTCCACTACCAGGTCCATTGCAAATGAATGGTTTGCAGAACACGGAAGACCTATTGGCATGCGAAGTGTTTACCGACGAATGTGAAGTTTTGGCTTGTTTTCATACCGGCCACACTTGGTCCTCCCTTTAACTCGACAACACCGACGTAATCGCCTTGAGTGGTGCAGACAACTGTCACTCTGGGATCAGGAATGGAAACAGTATTGTCTTTAGTTGACGAGTCTCGATTTTGTTTAAGCATGCACGATGGTCGTGCCAGGGTTAGAAGGCGACGTGGTGAAAGGAGGAATCCACAGTTTTTTGTTGAAAGACATGTTCATCACACTGTTGAGTTATGGTTTGGGGTGCTATAGCTTATGGTTTCAGGTCACCTTAATCTTCATCAGAGGTAACATAAACGCGCAGCGCTATATCCACGACGTTCTAGAACCCCATCTTTTACCCTATCTTTACACCCTGGCAGATCCAACTTTCCAACAAGATAATGCCCGACCACATGTTGCAAGAGTCACAATAGACTTCTTTCAACATAATAATGTCACATTGTTACCATGGCCACCAAGATCTCCCGACTTATCCCCAATTGAGCACGTGTGGGATATGATGGGTAGGAGATTGCTCAATTTGCAACGTCCTCCTCAGGCTCTAGAAGTACTTCGAGAGGAGTTGGTGGTTGCCTGGAATGAGATACCACAGGAGGACATTGACCACCTGATCAGAAGCATGCCTAGGCGCGTTGGAGAATGCGTAGCACATCAGGGTGCATCCACACATTATTAAAGGTCAAACGGCTTTAAAGCAGTGCAATCATTTTGAAATTTTTATCATTTACTTATTATGCTTCATTAAGTACTTATACAAAGTTTTATTAAAATAAAACCATTTAAACTGGGTGTTCGGATTTATATGTCACTTAGTATACCTCCAACTGGCGTTTTTCAGTACCGTATAGGACAGTAAATTAAGTTTTATCTTCATGACTGCACGAGTACAAGACAGTATTGAAAATAATCAAGAAGCGATCCTATATCACCCTGTAACTGTTGGAGCAAGGAAGTGTATCTCGCGACGAGGAACGGTGTGCGTAGCCACGTTGTTTGTTTTTTTTTTTCTGGCGGTGGCACTTCAAGCGACGCACATGTCGTGTCGCTTTGCTTTGAGCAGGAAACACTTTTCG